CACAATACGTTATAGGTAAATAGCTACTTATCATATTTAATGTCCAATCGAGAAAGGAAGCTATTATACTCAAACTTATGGCTTTGCTGGACAATTGGGTTTTTATTTTAATTAATTTTATAGAATGTTAAATACACTGATAAAAGGCAATTAGATTTATGTTAAAAAGGTAAATAGCACATTCCCAACCAAAGTGTACATAAGGAATACCAGTTTCTGTATTTTATTGATTAAAAATTATTATTATATAGGGTTAGGTGGTTGAAGCGTTTGCGGAGGTAACACTTAAAGATTGAAGATAAGCGGTAACACTTATCTTTTTTATGTAAAATTATTTTTCATTGTTTTAAATTATAAAAATTTGTGGGAATAATCAAAATTTCAGAATCCATTCACTCTAGCTCGATGTGGCTACCTTTTGCCGTCACAATGTCTTTCAAAAGGTTAAAAAATCAGTTGCATGCTCCACGATTGTGTTCTTCTAATATTTTAACCCATTCCTGAACAATGGATTTCTTCAACGTATATTTTTATATTTCTTAGTCCTCACCTTGCTCTCCACCTCTCCAAAACAGAATAGTCCATTTTATTTGCATCCGGTGATCTGCGATTCTAAAGCCATTGTGTGACGAAATTAATTGTGTAACATGATTTTTTAACCATTCTTGGTTCACACGAGCTGTATGAGACCGATATGAGTATAATTTTGAAGCTGTTAACGACTTAATCTATCTTGACACAGCCATCAACAATAAAACTGATGTCTGAAAACAGACGTAGACCATAAGCTCAATAAACAATTTGGATGTAGAGTAATTTTCCAACCAACGAAACTAAGACTCTATATTGAACTCATATTACTAATGCTTCTGTAAGGCGTAAAAGCATGCATATGTTACTATTACAGAATGAGTATCTGTTTCAGATGTTTTGCAAATTATAGACTTTTTTCCTATATGTATGAACAACGCCCTGAATGAGCTGTATCACAATGTTACCATTATATAATTAATATACAATGTACCATATATAGTAATAATATCAGCTAATATATTCCCACTGTTAATTCGGTTTTTGATATCGACGCCACCATCCAGCGATATTCTGCTGCCTAAATATGTGAAGCTGTTTACGTTGTCGATTTCTATATCGTCCAGGTTGAATTTGCCGGTAGGGTCAGTAGGGTTTATCTTCATTGTTTTCGTCTTTACCGTGTTCACTGTAAGACCAACTTTACGCGACTCGTGAACGAAGTCGTTGAATTTATCTTCCATATCGTTCTGTCGTGTTGAGAGAAGGCAAATGTCGTCAGCATATTCTAGTTTCTCGAGGTGGAATGAAATCCCCCAGCGTATATCCCTTTGTGACTGGTCAATAGCTTTAGTAAGGACGTCGTTAAACACAATTAAAAACAGAATAGGTAACCTGATGGTAGCCTTGTCGAACATATGATTTAGTGGCAAAGGGGGTTCTAGTCATTAATTTCATATTATACTAAAATGATAAACCCAGTTGAGACTACATATATTGTCATAAACAATAGTATATTCATAACTCTATATGAATATTATTTAAGTTTAAGCATAAACATAGATAATCATTTATCTTATTTTCTATTAATGATATACCATATAATAGAGCAAACTAATAACTAGTCAATATGTGTGATGCATACTCGAATTTATCGCTAAACTAAAATCATGAAATCGATAAAAACTTCAGTGATGTTTCGTTACTGAGCTAACATTTTCAAAAGCTCAACACAAATGTCATTTACTGCAATTTACTGACATTAACTGCGAAAGCCGAGTTCTAAAGTCGATTTTTTTTCGTCATTTGCATATTAGAAAAGTCGAGAAGTCGGGAAGTCGAGTCTTTATTTATTTATTTTAATGTTTTCATTATTATTTCAATTGCTGTTTGAATGCCAATTTGCAAATCAAACTTATGCAATTTTACAAAATTTCTTAAAAAGGTGATAACTTAAAAAATTCGCTATAAAGCAGCGGGCATTTCATTGTTGGAAAATACTCGTATTTCTGTTCACGTACGAGTGCAGCTTGGAAGGATGCAAATGGTCATGCAGGTGCAGTCTTTATTGCCATTGTTGGCCATCAATGGACGTAGTTCCACGCATATGCGGATACATTCGATTGAGTCTGTAGAATTGGAAACATGTGTTTGCAACATTTAGAGGCGCATACTACAAATGTCAACTGCAAACTTTAAACTGCAACTCGCAAGCATGCAACATTGTGAGCTACATTTTTCAAATATGGACATTTCTTGTACAAATTTGTTAAATTGTTCAAAATGGTAAAAGTGAACGAATAAAACGAATAATACGTGTAATACGTATAATACGTATAATACGTATAATACCTATAATATGTAAAATTCAAATAAAAGGAACCTTCAGTAAGTAAACAAATAAAATTTCAAACATCGAAAGTCACATTAGTATCCACATGGCAATTTTGCAACCTGACGGAAGTTTTCCTATTGCCAAATTGTTTTCTTGCAAAGCAACAAAATGTTGATGTTGCACTCCGGGACAATTGCTATTGTGATGTAATTTGTTCAATATCAAATAATAGTGAGATATATATTAGGAAGTTACATTTTTATAGTTATTGAATCTAATTTTATTTACCCGCCGCCCTTTATCCCAAATGAAAGGTGTAGAAAAATGCACACTCCAAATGTGGGTTTATTTTCTAAATTAGAAAGATAGCTTATTACGATCTACCCAGTAATTCACTATAATTAACTATAATTTATTATTACTATTGAGACTATATGCTCCACTGGGTAAAGAGGATAATAGAATGAGAAAAAAAAAGAGCTATTACTATGTCTTTTCAACATCTATGATGGAATAGTTCTTTACGAATACGTTTCATTTAAAATGTCAATAAGAACTTTTAACATATTATGCGTTCTATTGTGTTGTTCCACTTATTTGGGAAATTAATATCTAACCCTTATTATCATTTGATATCAGCTATATCTGGCTGCTGAACTGTTAAGACTGAACTACTTCTTCAATCAAATAGAGGGCGCAATTCTAATATCAGTGCGCACCTATTTGACAAAGAGTTTCAATAAATTTTATTATTTTGAACAATTTTTTTTCACTACACTGTATGCTAATATATATACTTCTTAAGATGAAGGGACATAAAATTCACTTTGATTACACTAATGGCGTTTTCGATTGATAAATCTGCATAACACTCGAAATTAATATATAAAATTGAAAAATAATTTATATCACTCCAGATATTTTACCAGAGTAGCAAGATTACTCTAAAATTAACAGCTGTTTTATACAATTTGACAGCTAAAAAAGTGCGATTTGTTTCCACATATGCCCGATTTGTTTGTTTATGTATTTGTGGCTGTCGTTTTGAAAATAGATATTAATAATTACATATTTACATTAGCACTCCAAATAGTAAATTATCTCTATTTTGAATTGAATTTTGAAGTAATCAAACTGTGAATAAATTCTTGATTCTTCTTCTTGAGTTAGTACTATTACGCACTTTTACTCTATAATGGCTGGGGGGCTTATCTCTACCCCACACTAGGCTTTAACTAGGCTAAGAAATCATATAATTTATTTGTGTTTTAGTTGATGACGGACCTTAAATCAGCACATCTTCCTGAGAGTCCAGAAGTGGACTTGAGGATTGTTAGGGCGGGGTTAAGTAGTGTATCAACTTTAGTGAATAATTTTAGAGCTCTGTCTCTGATATATTTTTTCACTGAGTCAATCCTAAGGTCTCTACATATGTCTGTTGATCTGATATACCATGGAATCTTAAACAGTCTTCTTAAAGCCAGGTTTTGTGCTATCTGTAATTGCTTTATGGTAGTATTTGAGGCTTTGCTATATGTAACACATCCGTACAGTAGTGCTGGTCTAATTACTTGCGTATAAAGTAACTTTCTGTTTTTAAACAGAAAGTGATAATTATTAAATAGAATAGAGAAACGAAGTTAACTTTGACATTACTACTATAAAAGTTTTAAATGTGAATATAATCACAGATAAAAAAAATTTATTGTATTCTATATCTGGGGCTAGTAAAACAATATCGGCTATTAAAATTTTTTACTATTGAATTTTGGCTTTTCTACAAAATTTGGTAAGTAAAATTGACTTATAATTAGGAAAGAATAGATAACTTTACTTATTTTTACTTAATTTACAAATTTAAACATTTTGAATTAAATATTCTGGCTTCGATATTGGCCAAACAAATATATGTTATTTTTTCTAATTTTTTAATACCATGAAATGAAATGTATTATTAACATCTGAACAAAAGTAAAAACGAGAAATTTTAACTTGGTAGTAAAATCTTCGACTTGAGACTTTTCAAATCTTATAGATGTCAAGGCTGTGAAATGCGTTATAGAAGTGCATCGATTGATTAGGTTTAAAAATCGTTTAGGCATCAAGTCTAGGCGTTCGATTCGTGGTTAGTGTCAATTACAGTAAAATTTTACAGGATATGTCAGGTTTAAAACCAATTAAATCCTCTTATGTTTTATAAAAAAAGCTTAAAAAAATCATTTATATGTTTTATATATACCTATGTAGAATCAAATCACTGTAAATCTGTAAAGTCATATAAGAAAGTTGTTAATTTCAGGAAAATTCCGCTACTCTGGCAAAATATCTAGAGTGTTGTGAATTAATGTTATACTGGATTCACACAAGAGGTTTGTATACATGCTCTAGCATATATATATATATATTTATATGCTCTAGCATATATATATATATTTATATGCTCTTGCAAATGGGATTATTTAAGCTTAATACATATTCCCCTAGTACTTTGACTCAATTTTTAGTATCTATTTTGAATTAAATTCGATTATTGTGAATTTAGAAACGAAGTCAACTTTGACATTACCTACTTTGACAGTTTTAAATATAAAAATAATTACAGATAAAAAAATTTATTATATTCTGTATCTGTTTAAGTAAAAGAATATCGGCTATCATAATTTTTTACAATTGAGTTTTGGCTATACTACAAGTTTCGGTAAGTAACTTTGACTTATAATTAGGAAAGAAAAAATTACATATAATTTACTTATTTTTATTTAATTAAAACATTTTGCAATAAATATTCTGGTTTATTTTGATGTACAACAAAAAATAATCCTAACAAAGTTAAGTTTTAACTTAATGGTAAAATATTCAATTAAAGACTTTTATTGATCTAATAATTATAATAGATGTCCTTTTGCTCGGGTTATGTTCCGCATAAAGGATGTTTTCGACTAAATGGTGCTATATTCCATAATATGTGTTCGGTTTTAAAATGTCTCTTTCTAGTCTTCGCCTTCGCCTTCGTCTCGTGATTGATTTCAATTTCAGTAATACTCTGAAAGGTCGTGTTCAAAACTATTTGTAATAAAAAAAGTCTTGTTAAAAAACGTTTCAGTATTGACATTAAATTTTCTAATTTCTAATTTTTTTTAATCATTGTAACCTTAGCTGTGCTTAGGATAAGCTATACTTTTTTGTACTTCTTGGTATATTTATATGATGTATTTTCTTTCTTCTAGAATATCTGTAATTTGAAATTTCTCAAAATTTGGAACATGCCCGCAATACTAATTTGTTAAAGTAATAATCTCATTAATAACAAAAATCTTTGGAGTTTAAACAAGATATTGGGAATATAACTGTAAGTAAATTATTTAAAAGAACATGAATATATAATTTTTTAATTAATTTATTTAAGTTCTAAAATTATTAAACAAAAGCCTTGACAATATAAACATATTATTTAAGAATGTTATTTTCCATAATTAAATATTTTTATTATAACATACATATAATATATTATAATGTATATAATAGAGAAATATAAATATAACAATATAGTACCATCTGATCCGATGAGACTGGTTCTGTTAACTTAGCGTTAACTTAGCGACATCTATGAATGAATGAATGAAGTTAACATAGCTAAATTATGTCACTTTATTAAATGATCAAGGTAACATCATTCTGCTTCGACCACCAGTCGAAGCAGAATGAGAACATATGAGATCATATGAGACGATGGACGAGCCAAAACAGGGATACCGAAAAAACGCAGCCTATTGAATTGTCTAACCGAAAACTTAAGTAAACGAAAAGTAGGTATGCGTTAATGACCCCACACTCTAAACACTGCAAAAATTGTAGAGTTCAGCTTTACAAAAGCATGTATACGTTTATGAAATATGGTTTCCAATAAGAGCCAAGATACATGAAAGCCATCAGAAAAGCCAAAAGGGAAAATTAAATGGAAAATTAATTAAATACTGACCATTTTCGTCGTTTTAAAAAGAATTATTTACATAAATTCGTTCCGCACAGTCAGAGTTCAAGAATTGAGTCAGACAGTTAATTTCTGTTGGACGATTGTGCACCATTATTGTATAAAGCTGTCATAGAACCATAATTTATCACGAAAATGGGATCAATAATTTGGCTCTGTGCTATTTAATCAATCAAAATTGATGATGACAGGAAATCATGGTAGTGCTAAGTATAATTTGATATCTACGCTACTCCGCTACTCATTTCCAGCCACGGTTCTCCAAGTATTATACATACTGAGGGTATGGCTTTGTAAACATGATATGGTTATGAGGCCGTGACAGTGACAAAGCTCTAGCAGCTGGAGTTTTGAGCATAGAAGAAAAAGACAGACAAGGTTATATCCATTTGTAGTACCAAAATCAAATGTTTGTAGTATCAATAAATCTTGAGGATTTTTATTTTGTATATATGCTTCATCTCGTTCTACTCTTATTTTGTTACACAAACTGGTTCCAAAAAATAAAATTCATATTTCCAAAGTTTAAGATCTTCCATTGTAGAAATGGAGAAACAGTTCAGTTCCAACTGTTTCTGCATTTCTAAATTTACTACATATTTACTACATAATATTACATATACTTAAATAAGACAGCGTATTGTGGAGTATGACAGCTACTGACATGTACTTGAAAATGGATCTTTTGATCTTTTTTTACGCACTACAAATAAATACTGGTACTTAGTAGAAAATGAACAAAACTCTTCAAAATTTTTATATTTGCTTAATATTTCAATTACAACAAAACTCTTTGATATGTCAATGACGTACACACTTATGTACGTTCGGTGAAGACAAGTTATAAAGATCGTTATATAAATCACCTGTTTCCATGTGTTCCATGTAATCGTAACCAACGTACTCACACTGCTGCTTCACCAACGTTGGTAATGAAAATGTTCGATCAACACCACTTCAGGCCAAGAGACGCGACCAAGTCTCAGTTGAGCCACTTGTAACGCTGAAATGATCACTTCGCTTTTCTTTCCGAATATCATTAAGCATGACAATTCAAAATGATTTGCTTGTGATCTCTGATCTGATCTGTTGTGATGTGATGTGTGATGTGTGCTGTGATATGATGTGATGATTTTATTTTTATATATATTTATTATTTTAAATGTTTTCTTTTTTTTATTTTTTGTACTACTTTAAACCTTTTTGATGAGGTGTTTTTTTTCATCACAACTCAGTGTCATTTGTATTTAAAATATTATTCCGAATTTATCTTTAACCAAAAAATAAAATGTTTTTTTTGTTTACATACAGCTTTTATTTTTCTTAAATTTATTTTTGTTTATTTTAATATTTTATTTTGCAGCAAAATTTGACGGTTTGCTTCCCTTTAATGGTTTAATTTACAACAAAAGCCGACAACCGCAGTTCAGTTGTGGACAGTTCAGAAGTGGACAAGATCGCTCCTCACATACTGGTATACAGCAGTACTCCGCGGCTTATTTGTGGTGTTCTACTAAGTAAGTACATATATGATGCATAAGTAGATCTGCGCGAGACGAACAGCTATACTGACGGCATGACGGCATGACGGAATGACAGACAGACAATACAACCCAAATGACATGTAATAAAAATGTTAATATGAATGCGAGTTTTTGCGATTAAATTTTTATGCTGCAACACTTTTTTTTTGATTTTGATATTTGGCTTTAATTCTCTTTAGATTTAATCGTAATCGTAGCTTTAACGTGAGTTTATTTTGGCCTTTTCACATCGGGTTAATTGTTACAGGCTGCAGCACGGTGCCGCGATGCAGCATTCGGCCTGAGATCTCTTCTCTGCCGCTCATTTCATCCTCTGGTTTGTGATTTCCTCTGCCGTGATTTGTATTTGGGTTTGTGTAATTATCGCACGGATTTTCGGAATTTCGTTGCAGTTTTCTTGCTTTAATTTTAATCTTTTGTGCTTAATTAATATTTTGTTCGTTAAGGCTTAAGCTGCTGCCACTCATCATTTTTATCTTTTGAGTTGTTTGTTAACCACAACAATTAACTTCAAAACATGCAATTTTCAGTTCAATCAATTCTGTTTAATTTCATCTTTTGAATGCGCGCCTCTGGGAAGTTTAATTGTTCCACGTTTTCGGTTTCAGTAGTAAAAATGAAGTAATCGCTCAGTTAGTTGTTATTAGAAGTGCATACAATCACATAAAATAGTTGTGAAAGTTTATTCATTAAAATACCTAATATAGCAGGTGCACTTCACATATACATAACACATAACACATATGGAAAGCACATTACTTGTCTTTAAAGACAATGACACCACTCATCAGTCGAAGATGAGTGGTGTCCAAATGTTTTGCTATTGTTGTAAACAAACGTCGACCTTTGCGTAAGTCAAATGGGGTGAGATGGGGTGAGATGAGCGAAGAATTATAGAGTGAGGTAGGAGAACGAATGAAAAAATAGGTAGATATGTCGAATCTACACTGATTCTGTCACCTTAATAGGGCGGAGTAATAAAACAGAGTTTTAGTGTCTATGCATATATAAGTACAAAAACAGATGGGCAACATCGTGTGAAGTAGGTTCACAGTTCGGGCTCACATGAATGTATTTACAAAGTGACAAGCTGTTAGTCGTTAACCGGAAATCATTACACTTTACTTATGTGTGCCTAAGTACTGTTATCTTATTGATTTCATTGTGGCTTATTGTTCAAAATAGATAATTATTTTCGTAAAATAGATGACAGACCGGTGACCATGCTGTAGATTTGAAACTCACATTTCCTCACAAATTTTTTTCCAATATTGTCCAGAATATTCGATAATATACTTTGATTTAAATAAATGTTTTTTATTAAACCTATAGAACTGAATATATTAGCCCATTTACTAATAAGTAAGGCTTATTAGTATTTACCAAGAGAGTTATGTTGTGAGCAGAAACAAATGATCTTTGTTCTAGTCTTTCTGTTTTATGCTTGTTTTAATAACTTCGTGCAATGACTAGTAAGTATCTTCCTCAATCTCTCTATTTATTTCTCTCTATCTCTATGAATAGATATCTCTTTCTCTCTACCTATTTGTCTGTATGCCTATATATGGATATCTCTTTCTCTTTACCTATTTCTCTCTATTCCTATATAAACTTCCTCCATCCTTTTCTCTCTTCCTCTAACTCTCTTTTTCTCTACCTATTTCTCTCTACCCCTATATATGGATACCTCTTTCTATTTCACTAACTTTTAGAAACTTAACTTTTTTTCGTATTTTTGTAAAGATTTTTCGAAACCACTTCCCAATGATCACTGATCTTATTTATTTTTTCTTTTATTTATATCATATTTCCTTAACTATTCTAAAAAAAATTTTAATTTTTTTGGTATTTCTTTCTAATAGATTCATTTTGCTCGTCTTCATGTACTTACTTTGAGTAATATTATGTAAGTATATTTTAACAGTATATCACACGATGATTGGTGCTTATAATAAATGCTTATTTTTCCTCATAGCGATTAAATATTACGGAACTTATTTGTTAAAATGGAAACAAGTGAATACACAAGCTATTCCGAGACATCGGTGACAACAATTTCCCACAAAGCTCGTTTAGATAAATTGGTCAAAGTACTGGACGTTATAGCGGTGCTTAAAAGCGAGTTTTTGGTATCCAAAGTTAGATGGACGTTGTTTTGTGCAGCAGTGTTTAGTGTACGTTACTCTTTAAACTTGAAGCCTTTACCACCGTATTACAAATTACCATGTGGTAAATATAATATAAAAGAGCTTCGCAAATTAGTCAGAGCCTATTATCGACTCGAGGATATCTGTGACTATTTGTTTAAAAATTGCGTCAATACCATACCAGCCAACATTATCAATTTGTTATATTGGGTTTTCGTCGTAAACTGTGATCAGCGTTTACGTTGCATTGACACAAAAAAATTTTTAAACGCAATTCATGAAATGAAAAACGATATAGGTAATCCACAATACGTAATCGAAATAGAGGATTTAAAATTCAGTAATAAATACCGATGGTGTGAGTCAAGATTTGGAACCTTACAATTTGATAGTACAAAACTTTATTCACTTATACAGCGGAATCCAGACCAAACTTGGCGACCTAGTAATTTTCTTGTGTTGAGAAATAATTTAGTGCCTAACCTAGATATAACTGATCCAATGTTGGTGAGATGTGGATTGGCAAGAAGAGTAACGGCACTCATAGAATATAAAAATCACAGCAAATACGTCAGTCACATAGATGGTTTCGAACCAAATGATAAATTTACAATTATATATAATGATAAACTAGCGAAAATAAAATACTTATTATTTTATGGAGATATGATCGCTGAGTCAAAAAAATCATTTCTAAAATCTTTGAAACCATTCTTGAAGAAAATGATCATATTCATAGGAGGAGGAACATATATTTATTCCCAAATATGTGTTATAACCAAGACACCAAATGCATTACTTCCAGTATCTGTTGTTAATGCCTATATAAAATTTTTGAAATCATTTTAAAATGGTTCATCAAATTCCACCGTCAGTGAACGCCAACTGCTGAGAGATAAATATTGAGACCAAATCTAATAAATGGAATAAATTTAAAATTCTAACTAACTACGATCTTACGATTTTCAAACTGGCGGCGGCTTTTGTAAAAAATCTTCCACCAAAAAACGAATATGTTAAAGATTTAAATTAATTATGAGATGCATGACACGTTTAACGTTAAAGACTCTAAAGAATTCGAGATATTACAGAACAACTACTAGACATTTTTTCTTGACAAAAGGATTTTGCCAAGTTTTTTTTATATATTTAGTGTAAAATATCAAGCCGATATTCAAAATTAAAAAATATTAATAAGAGCAATAAAATTTGTTTTAATTTTAATTTACATATACTACACATATATAAAATTATAACATAACACAATATTATTTTATATTATATTTATAATATCATTAAATATTATATTATTATATCCAGCATATATAATATGTCGGATGGCTCATTCGAACTCCAACTTTTCAAATCAGGGTATTTTTTTATTTAAAATTTTGAGTTTCCGAATTCACTGAATAAACATATTTACATATATATAATTAAATGAACGATAAACGAGATGCAGGTACCAACGAAATTTCATCTAAAAAACGGCTTTCATGAATACCTCACTCTAGTATTTTTTCAATGCTGATGCAAAATGGTTCACAGAAAGTAGTCGTGCAACGTAATTTCCTATAGAAACTTCGACTTTCTGTAATTAAATATACCCTAAACAATAATACAACAAATTTATAGATCCACAACTATCGAAAGCGTTTTGAGCACTTTTACTCTTTCTAAACTCGAGGTATTTTCAAAACCCCTCTTTACGCCTTGACTGGATTATTGTTTATCACTTCATCAGACTAAGCAATAATTGACCTCAGATCAATGATCAAATAAATTGAAGAAATAAACACACCTCGTAACTGATATTCCAACTGCCCATATTAGCTACAGCAAATCGATCTAACCATTCATACTATCCTTTACGAATAAATCAATGGGCGAAGGCATTTCTCAAATGTATATTCGGTGATTTTATATAAAGTAATAGAACGGTCATAGAAGCAGCAAAGTTAGCCATTAAATTGTCACTTATTTCTAAAGGGAAGTACAATAATTCATCTATGGTATAACAACGGGCCATTATTTGTGCATAAGTAGGCTTAAGACATAAGGCTGCTACTTCAATATAATCCAACTTAACAATATTCATGACATGATAAATCATATTTGCATTTATGTTATAAGAAATGCACAATAAACACTATTCACGTATTTGAAAACTTTTTGGTCCCCACCGTTGTGAATCATCACAAATTATTAGGTTTATTATTAATTTAGAGCACGCCTAAATATACTCATTAACACCTGTTTGACTTTTAACGTAATACTGCCGCTCAAATTCTTCCATCTTCATTCAACAGATTCCTTGCGAGTGGAATATTGTCACAGATTTAAATATCCCACAAACTTTGGTCCACTAAGAGACATTGAACACCTCCAAAACTGATTTTGCTGAAATAATCGGGTTTAAACCATAATATATTTTCATCATAACTCATTCAATCTCATGTAAATAGACAAGCTCAATAAAAAAAGTGAAGAGTATATATAATAGAATAGCATTATATATATATATAAATATATAATCAATATAATTAAAGAAATATATATATAATCAAAGAAATATATATATAACCAAAGAAAATTTCCAATAAAAAATATCAACCTGTTGAGAATATTCAATACTGTTAAAATTATACTAAAATTATACTAAAAGTCTTCTGTTATGAACCAAAATGAACTTTCAATTTCACTTTGTGAAGATAGACACAGAAGACTTAAGACGGGAACCTTTCTTGTAATTCTGGGCAATTCGCACAATAAAAGATCATACAAAGAATTCATTCATTCAACAAAAAAAAAAAATAAAAAAAAAAAAAGAAATTAAACAGAATTTTGCCACACACATTGCAAAAAGGAGAATTAAAATTTGAAAAATAAAACCTTTTTTTTTGGCACAGAAAATAAAATTGAAATAATCTTTGATGTATTCTTAAGAATTAATAACAAGAATCAATTTCATCTTACTTAGTTTTAACAGTGCGCTACACTGTAACAGCCGGTATGTACAGTTTTATATTCAAAACAGAATTAATAACATTTTTGGCATCGCTATCAGTTACCAGCAATATTATTAAATATATTATTCTTTGAATTAGACTTTTAAATTTAATCATTTATTGAAAAATTAAAATATTATAAAATTTTTTGTAATTAAATAATTAGAAAATGTTAATAATTGCATTTTGAAATTTATTTAATTTACTAAATTAATTATTTGATTTCAAAAATAGTGTATGTATGTAATGTAGTTTTTCTTTTCTCTTAAACGCATTAGATGACTCAAAAAAACATTTCATATATTTAACAATATTGTTAAAAATGAAGTTTTCATAATATTAGTAGATAAATATTTAAAAAGTATATTAAAATAGCATTGAACATTGAACAATATTCCCTGTTCCATTATATAGGGGTATACTAACAGTTTAACATTTCGCTCGCTTATAAATAATTACAAACATAGCGTCAAAAATATACTAAGCATTTGTAAACAAATAATCAGAACGGCCTTTTATGGATCTGCATATCTTATAACAAATTTTTTTGAATTTTATTTAAAAATTTATTTATAAACAAATAATCAGTACAGCCTTTTAAAGGCCTGCATATCTTATAATAAAACTTCTAAAGCCACCACTCTACACACAATTTTTACACAAGTCGATTTCAAACGTTCAAAAGGATGGTCCAAGTATTTCAGGTCGACAGACCTACATGAAGAACTTAGAGTCGAGAGCTTTGCAAAATATATATGCGACACTGCTATATTGTCTCCATCATTATCGGTAGATTTACTGACATTCGCAGCTATGGTATCAGTGGTTTCAGAGTTCAAGTTCAGGAACACATTTAAGTAAAAGCGTTTCAATTCATAAAAAAAATAATATAAACATTAACCAAATTATTACAATAAAATTCAAGCAATGCTAATTCACTTACCTAAAAAAATTGAAGATAACTTTAACTAACTAGATAACTAGACTTTGTAAGGCTATTAAGGACAATATTAATTTTAATGTCAACTTCCTTCATCGACTACTATAAATATATTATTTATATTAATAACAATAGAATTATAAGTCAATATTTTTACCTCATTATTAGAGGATAGAACACCACCACTCTACTATTTTCTAGTGAATTACTTCCATATTCTTGGCAGAATCTTGCCTAAACCTCTGCCTATATGTCATGATAAGTATAAGGCAATGTGTAAGTAACTATGAGTTCAATAAGTATTTCTATGAGTAGATCATAGGTAAAGTTCTTAATATATCGAAAATAATATTTAAATTGTATTTATATAATTATATATAATTTAAATCTATGTTTAGAAGATTTAAAGAAAGATATTTTTTTTTACTTATTAACAATACCATTCATATGAAGCCATTACTTCATATAGCTTTAGATGAATATTAGTATTTAGTATACAAAAATAGTATTTGAAATACAAAAACGATTAAAACTACATTAAAAAAAACTTTTTCTAGTAAAGCTACGACATAAATATAATCCAATCTACTTTCTGACGTCAGAGTCATATACTAATTGCAGATATTATAACTCACAAACCGACAGTACAAATTAATTAATTCATATATTGCTAGATTATTTTTAAAACTTATATACCTAAAATTATATTTATTTATTTATTTTCAAATTTTAAGAATAAGGAACTGAACCACTAGATCCTGCGCCCTATCAACAAAATATAAAATTATGTATTATAAAGAAAATTTTTAAATAACTACATTAAAAACTAAAATGCATGAAAACACTTTAAACAATTTGGAATTAATTATTTTATTAATTTGTCAGTAATATTTGCCTACACATACATTCTCACATGACGACGTCATGGGTTTTCTTCGTATTGATTTTTTTTTTGTGAGAATCGCAATAAGATATAACACAAAATCACTTTACACTCTTTATTCTGTTTCCTAGAAATTAATTGTTTTTATAATAAATAATTAATAATCAAACAAAATTCACCAAAAACTTTATTTTTCGCTTTTAATTTAAAACTGTCTTGTCTTTTCATCATAATGTTTAAAAACTGTCAAAACTGATCGCGTGACGTATTGCATGACTGCTGTTTTTGCAATAATTTCCCTTTCAACCAAAAGGGTAATTTCCTTGCTGCACAATGGATCAAAAAAAATTGTTTGCATAAATTGACATATTGCATATATTATGGATATTTTTTCAATTGTCATATGTTTTTATCATATTTATAGATAATTACCAAAGAAGATCTTCTTTGTAGATTCTTAGTTCTAAACACGGCGCATGGTCCACAGCAAAACTTAGGGGAAAAACCCGGAGTTGTGTGTATTTGAAAACAAAATAATTTCTTTTGTAATGTGAGGAATATCAGAATAATTCATATTAATATTTAAACTGAAATGTATATACATATGTATGTATCTGAGAAATGTACGAATGGGTTTGTGTTTGTGATTTCCATGAATTTTTGCTTTCTATTTTACCATTTACTAGTAGTTCTGCAAAGGAAATCCATTAAAGTGTGGCAAATAACAATAATAAATAATAGTAATATTAGTTTTACCACTCCACAATATTTTATATATAGTTTAGAGAATTGTGTTGTAATTTTTTCAGGTTCTTAAAAGAAAAAGCACTGTTTCGACCGCCTGGAGGATCATAAACACAATGATCAGGCCAAGTACAGAAAAGTGGACCTCATCATCGGTGAAATTAAATTTATAATTTTCAACATATTGTAAAGTATTGATATAAATTTAGTTATTTCGTAATATGCAAACATTTATTAAATTATTAAAATTAATTTCAGTTAATACATCATATTCATCTTCGAATCTTGCAAATAAAAATGAATATTTACTTAACATATGTGCTTGGAAATTGCTCCAAATATATTTAATTGCTCAATATATTCGGCTTTGGTACTATGGCTTTAAGGAAAAACATATTTCGTTTCATATTTAGTCTAAATGTGACTAGATAGGGGACAAATTCAAGATTATGATGAGGAATTTTATATGGAACATATGACTACGGCTGTTGTGCTTTTGGATATTAAAAAGGAAAAACTGAAAGTGAATACACGGCCTCTTTAAAAAGGTAACATAAGTTTAAGATAGAGTGATTGCTTTAACTGAATTTTTATATAGAAAAATTTTTACGTTTAAGAT